ATAGTTTACAGAAACTTCAAATGTGCCACTAATTCGCTTTACACTAGGTAGCGTCTGTGAGCACTTTTGACGTAACCGTGCAACACTCCGTCTCGTTCTAGCCCCGTGCAGAAATGCAAGAGGGGCGATAACCATTGATAATTTCATTTTCTAGTAACCCGATATACCGACTGTTAAGATCAACTCAATGTCAATTTCGGCTGCTGCTGAGCTTATGTTGATAACATGTTTGTTAACTTTGAATTGAAAATACATAGGTATTCCTTCAATTGTTAAACTTATATTTTCTTAAGTCATTATCAAATGTGATTATAATAACACAAAATTGTCTTCTCAAATCAGATAAGATGCAAGCTCTCACATCGTTTATAATAAACGGGGTCCACCGCTGAAAACTATTTGTATTTTGACCAGCTTATTAATCTCTAAAAGTTACAGCCGCCCATGGAAATTTGCAACACCGGTGTGGTAGGGTTGCAGATGCAATGGCACCATTTAATAAATAAAGTGTTGTGTTCACTCATTACGCGAAACGCAGAAGTACAAAACTTCCACTTCCACCGGCCCTCTGTGAGGTCGTGGTACTTCCCCGGACGGACCCGCCCATTCGTGCAACAGCGGAGACTGTTGCGTTGTCTTACCACATAAAAGCCAAATGCGTTAAAATAAGTAAAAACGTTTGTTTAAACAAGATATAGTTTTAGTTTATAGTAGTTTGTTTGTAAGTTTCACTGAATAGTTTGGTCTAGGAAGTGAGGTGACCAGGGCCCACTGTTTATAAAGATTGCCAACGCATCAGGTGTTGATGTCCATGTGCGACGGTAAACAATTAAATTCTTTAATGGGAAGGGATAAAAATTATAAAAACGTAACTAGAGGCCCTACAATCTCAATAGTTGACAACACACTTGAAACATATCTAGTGTTGTGAGAAAAGACCATAACGGTTGGTAGATTGTAGACTTAATTCAAGATAACTCAAAACCATTTCGAAAGTTTCCAACGGTAAGTGGTTCTATACTGAGCGCAAGGGATTTTGATTTGAAGTGGGAATGTCGAAAAAATATCGATATTTTTTATTTTCAGCCGATATATTTGAATCCGATATATCGATACAATATAAACCTTAGCCAAAACGATATTTTATCAAATTCGAATCCTGCACAGAGTCCGATGTCCAATTTTTTATGCGCATACCTTTTTTTTTAAAGACGGGCCCTAAAGCGTAAATGTCGATATATCGAGGCCGATATTGATTTTTTTTTTAAAATAAATATCGGTAGATTTCTTAACTTTCTACATGCCTAATCTGAAACCCTATCCAAAAACAATTGCGGTTGGTTCGGGTTTATCCAATTGAGAGACTCACCACTATACTGGCCAAGCCATTAGAAGGTTAACCCAAACAAACGGTTAACACTCGAACGGCTTAACCGTTTAAGTCTTAATCGAATGAACGGATTTTCCGGGCCCTGTTTGTGGGTAAGCTTCGGCAGTGATTCCCCTTTCGCCATTCAATTTAAATAAATAAAAAAAACACCAAGCATGATGCAATTTTTTCATAGGACAAAAACTATTTGTCAATTCTCGTGAACACTATATCAGACACTTACTACATGAGTCTACAGGATGTTTCCGTTGTCAATTAGCAACTATGTCTAACATTTGTTAAAGCGCCTTTTTGTATAAGACAAGTGACTACGAAAAACAAAGTTTGCACAACAACAGCATTCGGTTTATAAGAAAACTAGATGCGAGCAAAAACTTTTACTAAATGCATATGGATGTATACACGGTACATATACAAAAATAACATTTTTTATAATTTTTGTCTGTCTGTTTCATCCGGCTAATCTCAGAAAAGTCTAGACCGATTTGAACGGGACTTTCACTGGCAGATAGCTGATGTAATAAGGAGTAACTTAGGCTACTTTTATTTTAGAAATTTTATTTATTTTAAATTCCACATGGACTAAGTCACGGGCACAGCTAGTAATAATAATAATATAACCCAAGGAGCTCCGATTTTCGAATTCAAGAAGAATAATATTCAAAACCAAAAGATACTAACCATGCCAAAAGATATGGGTTATGGGAAATATATTGCACTACTATTTACTTTTAACTTCATAATTTTTAAAGGTTAAAAGAAGAAAGTTATCCACCAGACACAAATGTAAGATAATTTTTTGTTGTAATTATATTCGGAACACGTACTTGTGTGACTCACAACACGATAATTGTTCCGGTTTAGGTTGAGGTCTGGCGCGGCCGTAAAAAAATAGCCAGTAATACCATTAACAACACCATTCACATGTCGTACGGACCCCTCCTGTGAAGGATAAGTGTAGAAGAAGGAATAACTTTGAAAAATGGAAACCAGTTGTCAATGTTGTGAATAGTTGCCAAGCGAGCAGACGGTTCACCTAATGTTAAAGTGAATACCGCCGCCCATGGACATCTGCTACACCCGTGGGTTTGTAGATGCGTTGACAACCTTTTTGTAAATTGGGCTCCGGCCACCTCACTCTCCAGGCGAAACACGAAAGTATCATACTTCCACTTCACGCCGGTCTTCTGTGAGGTCGTGGTACTTACTCGAACGTGCCGAGGCTGCTGCGTGGCCCTACCACCGATCATTTAGGGATTTCTTTTTCGATATAATACTATCGATATAAACAAAAAAATCAATACAAACGATTTAAATATTAGCGCAAGCCAAAGAACATCCTTCGCGTGTTAAGACTATAAAAAGTGACGATTCTTTGTAAAGATATTTATTTATGGGGGGGGGGGGGGGGGGTGTGGCAGTTAGCTTAATATAAAATAAACACCATCGCCCATATACATCTGCTATGTATGTGTTTCAATTGCGTCGTCGACTTGCCAAGCTCACACAATGAAACCTAAATTTGATTTCGTCTTCTGTATGGCCGTGGTACTCTAAAGGCCCATTTACACGATGTTTAGACCATGCAACTTATTTATTGCTTCAATTTAATTGTATACAACAGGCAAGAAACTGGCACCGTGTAAATGGGCCTTTATGGACGCGCGGACAAAGATAGAGACATGAAACATTATTTTATTAGCTCTACCTTAGTGGCGATCGTTACTACTTAAGAATTAACAACGTAGCAAGTGAAATTAGCCGCTATAAGATCGGTAGATTGTAAGAAAGTTGCATTATAACCCGCCCGAGTTTCGATGTCTCGATAATCGTTACGACTTCAAATGCCGATTCGTATGGTATGCCGCAATAAATAAATAAATATTTCAGGGCACATTTTACCACATTTCTAGTCCCAAGGTAGACAACTCTTTCGCTATAGGTGCTAGATAACTGATAAACATACTTAAACATACTTTTCTTTTGAAAATAAATACACAGTATAAATATATAAGCACCCGGACATGGAAAAACACTATGTTCATCACACAATATTTTACCAGTAGTGGGGTTCGAACCCACACCCCTGGCGCAAGAGGCAGGGTCACTCCTCTACGCCAATAGGGTTGTCATTACAAAGTGATTCCTACAATTCAAGGATACATTAAACATGAATAAACTCGGCTAGGTACGGGTACGGCGATAAGGCGTAAGGCCGTTGGGTCTGAGCGTTTCCCCATTGCCTTGCTGCGGGTCAGTCTACGTCGCAAAGGTGCAAAACCAAAATTAAGGACGCACAGATACACACGACACAGTTTTAACACAAGTAAAGCTACGACTTTTATATATTCAACTAGCAACCCGCCCCCGGCTTCGCACGGGTGCAATGTGTTTTATATATAAACCTTCCTCTTGAATCACTCTATCTAGTAAGAAAAAGCGTATTAAAATCTGTTGCGTAGTTTTAAAGATCTAAGCATACATAGGGTCAGACAGACAACGGGACGAATTTGTTTTATACTATGTAGTGATGAAACTGTTTTACTGGTTTTATCGCGTATTTATTATTGCCGCCTTTAGTACTCATAAGAAAAAATTCAAATCGAAAGAATAAGTAATAAAATTACTGACAGTAGCCCGGGTTAATTTTGACATAAAGACGTTAAACAACTCACGCCCGGTTTCTGAAACACTGCTCATCGTAGAAGTTGACTAATCAGCTGTCATAATGATCAGAATAATCAATTCAAAGAGATTAACCATCTTTTTGGCAACTCAAATAACATTTGAAAAGTCATTTGACAGCTGATTAGTTAACTTCTACGATGATCAGTGTTTTAGAAACCGGGCGTCAGTCTGTCCCGTGACCATGAACACTGCAAAGGGTTAGAAACGTTGGGAATTAAAAATCAAAATTAAAACACGATAAAATCCGTAAAATAGTTACATTTAGTATGAATAATATTTGCGTAAAAACAAAAAAAGAACGTTTTTATTATGTAAGTCACAAAATGTTTTGAAATGTATAAGTCTAAAGATATTTCATTTAAGAAAATAAATATTTTTTACTTCATTAACTTTTTTATTTTGAATGCAATAATTTTATGTATAGACAGCTTTTTTTTTTTAATTTTAATCAGTTATCTTTATCAAAGCGACGGTGACTTTGTTAATCATTTGGTAATTCATTCAAAAAACCAATTAGTTGAATTTTCACTTTCATTACGTAACCTTACGAATAATAAACAAGTGGAACGAAAAAGGAAATGCGAACTCCATTTTCCAATACAATGCCCTTATTATTTATCCGTAATATGATAAGAATACAACACAGTAAAATAGTAAATCACTATTTAAACAGTAACGTCACTTATGTTACCGTTTTTAATTAAATCTGTTAATAGTCTTGTTCCATCTGTCTATTGTTTTTTCACGTTTTTAAATGCGTTATGTGTCTAAAAAACTAATTCATTAATTTTCTAATTTCGAATCGAAATAAAACGATACGCAGTCTGCAAGGCGGTTAATCGGACAATACATATAATGATAGCTTCATAATTAAAAACTTTATGATGGAACCGTACCTAAGATCGTCATTCCGGCCCTTTCACGGAACCACTGCTGTAGAGAGCACAATTGCACACGCGTCCACGAGCCGCCGAGCGCTGATACGCTGTGACCTCGACCGGGGAGTAACACCGAGTGACACCCTCGGGGTTGACGTGACCGGCGGTGGCGCGGGAGGGGTGGAAGGGGTGTGTGTGTGTGTGTGTGGAAGAGGTGGGGGCGGAGGCCGTGACGTCACGCGGTCGTCGAACCGCCGGAATTGGGTCACGAGATCGGCGCGGTCGATCTGAGAGGTTTCGACTATAGGTAGACATCTACCTTTGCAACGGACGCCGGTCATTACGTAACTAGCTAGAGGACTCTAATGTTTCTGTAGGAGATAAGAAGCGAACGGAGCCCTTTATAAACGCAGAGAGATAAAGATTTTCGGATTTTCCTTCATGTCTTGACTGTTTCACGATTTCAACCGTATTGTCAAGAGATTTTTTCCTCATAATAAATTTAGTTCAGATCTTTTCATACTGACGTACACTTTATTTACAATATTAATTATGTGTAAGATACGAATGAGCGATTGGATGGATCGGAGCAACCGGAAAATTACAGAGATCTGTTCAGTTGGTCGGAGGGATGTCGCATCCATGTCAAAGTCGTCATGATAGTCAAAAGTCTAAAAAAAATTGTGAAGTTCAGAACAGACGTAACCTGAAAACTGTAATGCGTAAATGGATTGCGATGGGGCAAGCAAGAAAGATAAAGGTAGAGACAGGGGGATATATTAATATTTAATAACTACTTCCTCAAGGATACGATAACGCGTATTTTGAAGTTTACTTTTACCCTTTAAATTTACACAAAGTATAATAAATAAACAAATCAAGGTCTATTTCATAATTGAACTTTAAAAATTACGTACAGAATACATGTTAACATTCTGAATAAATTGTATTGAAAACTGCAGGTTAGATTACAAAGCCGTTATGTTCACACGTGACTTACCCAAATTGCTTGGGACAAACTTCGATTAACCGTTCATAGTTAGCGGTTCCTAGGGAAAGTTCATCGATAATTCTACTGAGCTGTCTATGTTTTCTTCAGTCCCTTCGTGGTAGATTATTGGGACGATAATATAAAGACAAGTCATGATTAGACGCCTGGCTCAGCAAATACGATTGCGTAGCGTATTTTTGTTCGCTTTTCCGCTTCTTAATCCCCTTTGGAAGTATATTATTTGATTTGTTATTTCCAAACAAGTGACAAATTGGAGGAAAGATAGCGTTTTCATGCTTAATTGTTGGTGCGTTCGTTTAGTGAAATGTTTACTTTTGCCGCGTGTTAATAAATAGATGGTCTATGCTTATCGCATTACATTGCAGGTGCATTGGTAACCTTAAAGAGGTTAAGCCCCGGCTGGATTAGTCACGAGACGAAACCCAGATGTATAAAAGGGTTGTAAGCGCACCGTAAAAAATGGTTATTAGCCCTTCTTTACGGTGCTTTTCTGGGAGCCCGTAGTACTTCTCTAGTACAGCCGACCCATTCATGCAACAATAAAGATGCTACCACAGACCGAGCTTACGTTTCACTAGACCAATTGAGGTCATTACAATCACGTACAGTTTGGGTTGGGATGAGTGTCCATAACTGTGCAAGGTGGTCCTGCCTATCAGGAAAATAAGAACAAAATGGTCAGCGAGCTTGAGGCAGATTTAAGTTGTGCATGTAATGGAATGGGAGCTGGCCAGTGGTCGAAAGCTATTCCACATGGTGTTAAGTGAATATACAGCCGTAGATAGGATACGCCCTTTATCAGATAAAACTCACCCTTGAAGGTGCACGAATAGAAAGACAGATGATGGCAGAGTAAAATAGTTGTCGCATATGAAATGTTTATTGTGTTAGTAAAACACGTGCAAATCTTACGCCGTCACGCGCATCATTTAACTATTACACAAACGCTTACCAAGTCTGTGCTCATAAATGTAATATGTTAACGTCATTAAATACAGTAATTAATTGGTGTTATTGTCAGCTATTTGTAATTCATGATTTCATAAATTTACATTGCGACCGCAGAGTTTCTTGCCGGTTCGTCTCTGGACAGGTTTACTGAACCGATGGTAATTGAAGATCCGAGTTTAAGACTTTCAATAATAGCTTAAAATAAGTATATATCAAGTACCTAAGGTGTTCGCGTAACATGTTTACTATCTTATCTTAATTTAATTCATAATTACAATTTCTTATATTTATCGCGATATAAATTCAGCAAATTTTGAATACTTTGTAGCATTCACGATCAAATGTGCATGAAGATAAATGTACATTATGACCAATAATGTACATTTATCTTAATGTACATACAATAACATTTATAAGTAAATATGAATTAAGTAAAATCAGTTTCATTTCATAAATAATTAACTAACTTTCCCTGCGGGTAGTTTATTTAAACGCGTAAAATCTCAAAGAAATGTTAAATATTCGTTTTAGTGTAATAAGCAATAAACGACCCTGATAGAACTCAAGAATGCAGCAGTGATCAGGATACCAAATTATAAATGGACTGCACAAACATCTAAACTAAATCTAAATTGTAGCGTAACTACTTAGACATTTTACGGTGAATTATGCATGCAAATCATAACCTCAATCGGTCGATGTTTGCCCACGCAGATTACGAGCTATTACAGAGTGGATTATTGTGAGATAACAATGGATGGATTTATTAGACGATTCCAGCACCTTGGCGGATTGTTTGCGACGAGTCGACTGTTGAGCTTTATGGTGTTTGCTGATCTTTTATCGCAGTGGAAGGGCCGTGTTGAAGACTTTTATGATTTCATTACAGTTGAGTAAAATGACGTGAACGCTAATGTACTTTGAGGGCCGAAAACAATCAACATTCAATGATTTTTTTCCCTGCGTCCGATGAAGCTTTAATAGTCTCGGGACTGAAAGCAAAAACATCAGTTAATACAAGATACAAGATGATTTTTTTCATTTTATTACGTGCACTTTGGTAAAGGAAAATATCGTGAGTACTGCTGTGCTCCTCTATATGCACAAGTTGTTTCCATTTCGTTATAAAACGTCATGGCAGCCGTCACCTTCAAAAGACATTGAAGGACGCATTATTTAAAACGTCCGATTAAGCTGATAAATCTAATACTTTAGTGCAAATCAAATTGGACCAGATCGTAAGGTATGATGACATCGTCGCCAACTCCAAGGTGACACGGAGGTAAGGACATTATTAAATGATGTCGTGCCGAGGAGTTAAAAAAAATTACGCCGCCTGAACATTCTCATCACAATTACTATATAATGAATATCGCAGAAACAGATTATGCGGTTCTAGATACCGAAACATTGATGGCTTTGTTGAAACTTTAATCGTAGCTAAAGATCGAGTGTTAGTTTACCGAGAATTCCAACAGGTCAGTAAATTGTAATTAATTAAATACAAGAATACAACTTATTTTAAAAATTGAATCATAGATTAACTACATGAATAAGGTGGCAACGCATCTGCAACACTACGAGTGTTGCAAATGTCAATGGGCGGCGGTTATCACTTAAAGATTTCGTCTAAGAGAAGCCATTTATGAAAGAAACAACAATAACAACACAACAACAGGTGAACCGCCTGTTCGCTTGACACCTTTTCAAATAAAACCATTCGCCAGACCAACGCGCATCTCTACAACGCAGTAAATTCCTTGATTCCTATTATTTTCTCAATTTATTAATGGAATTATGCTTGAGAAAAAATATTTACCCCATTTTCCTAGCTAACAAGGATGTAATGTGCTATACGGCTCATTCTCAAAAAGTTTATCATCTCTGTTCTCCCTCTGGCCAAGCTATAACATTGGATGACATCACCCTTCGGAGAGGCTTTGACGGATGAATTAATGATGTTTTGTATGTTTTAGTTCTCTTGTGAAATAGTTATGCAATATCTCTGTGGATACAAGATAGATGTCAAGAATATCTTTAAGCATAATTTTTCAGAATTTATGTCTGTCGGTTTGTGAAACTCGAGTCACGAATATACTCCAACACAACGCATTTCATTGAAGATTTTAGACTTAAAACAGTATTTTTAACTTTTGTTTTCTTTCGTTTATTTTTCTCTTAATATCATATCGTGTACGGTTCAGATATAAATAACATATTTTAGATTAAAGTGATGATCCATTCCGTTACAAGATCCACACGGACAACGTGGCGGGTATGAGCTAGTCTATAAGTTTTGTGAATAAACGCGCATTTCACGCTACATTAAATTAACCCACAATAAATGCATAGACGTTTTCTTATCCACGAAGGCAATGCAACACAAGACGTTTACCATACAAAACACAGCCGTAAATAGGCAATAAACTGGTCGACCCAACCTGTTTCCAAGCAAGCTGCCTAATGACGCCGCAACACGCGACCACCGTTCACCAAGACGACAACGACTCAGACAGAACTGAGAGAACAAAATGCCCTAAGGAAAGTACACAGACATTTTTACTAACGACCTCCGCGAAGGCCCGAAATTAGGCCGCGGTATAGTGCAAATCGAACTGCTATTAGAGTTCCGTTTGGCACATTCGAGGAGCCCAACTACATAGGAAGTCTTTTGGGAGGACTGGTTTAACGGGTCCGATACGTACAGGCTAATTGAATTGATTCTAGTTAGTTCCACGCCATCGCTAATTGTGTAAGCGAAGGTGGACGTAGTGCGCTTACTTATTGTCTTTTCAAAGAACTTTTTACCGAAGTGAGCGAGACAGATCGGTCCAATTATTTACTCGGCTAATCGTATGTTGATGGAATCCCTAATATGCAATATACCCATTTAAACATGCTATGGAACACGTCGATAATGTTTTGATAAGAGTGACGGTACCGTACTAAAAGATAAAAACCACATTGAACAACAAGTTTCGTGATAGCTTAGTGTCCGGGCGCTCGTTTTTAATACAACATTCTCGAGCAGCCCGTGTTCAATTCCCGTGGCCAGCGCCAATGGAATTACAAGTGTAAGTGTTCACTTATCAGGTACTCAGCGGTGAAGTAAAACATCGTGAGGAAACCTGCATATTTTCGAAATATTAACTTACAAAAAAATTTCCAAAAATGTGTGGCAGTGGGATAGAATGGGATGTTACTTTTCTTTTTTACTTTTGTGCAAGATTTAATGAGGAAATGAGGAAAGAGAAATGCTTCCTACAAAAATCCAGTAGGTTCAAAAGAGACTTAACTCTCTAAATAATTTAGGAAGTCGATAACCACGAACTAAAGTCTATTTCCCTACGTTTACATTACTGCATGTACGTAAATAAC